TTACAGAATCCACATATTCCTGCCAGTTTTAATATCTATTTTGTAATCAACAAGTGTGTAACCCCGGTCAAAGTTTGACACTTCTCTGGCCATTATCTCCGTAACCGTTCAACTTTGGACATAGGTGTTTTGGGTTATATCGGCATACTTTAACATAAGGAACACCCTCCCGAAGTTTGGCACATTCCTCCTGGGACACCCTGTATGGCACACCTGAGGAAATAGTTTACTGTTTATTAATATTTACTAATACTACTGCTGCTTCTTTTTCTTCTGGCTCAGCGCACTCTTTCTCTCCACATACAGTATACACACTGACTGGTGAAGAGCTACTACTTAAACCAGAGGTGCAATTTGTGCGTCAATTAGTAGTCTCAATACCATATCATTTAATGATGGTCATTTTTCATACCAATTTCAATATGGTGGCAGTTGTGGGTACATCACATGCATTGCCTATTATACAGGAAAATACATATGACCCTATACTCTTTGAAGAATATACTAAATTGGTACTAAAGATAATATTATTTGTAATCATTACAATAAAGTAACAATCTTACTTTAAAAATTAACAATTTCATTCCTTTCTTAATCCATATTTACACAACCTTCTTTGCAAAACTCTATGTCTTTATCAGCATTCTTGTGCCAGGCTTCTGTTTATGAAAGACCTGCTGTTGCAAAAAGAATTCCTGTAGTTAGAGTTAAGACATGCAATATGCTGAAAAACAACAACTGTGAATGCAGGTGGGACTGATTTAAAACTGATTAGAATTTAATGACATAAAAATTATATAATCCTGAATCTCTGCAGTTAACCTACATAGCAGATAAACTGCCCTCAGATACTCAAGAATCTACTGTGTACAAGCTTACTGGTTTTGTTAATCCATCAAGACTCCTTTTTAAAGATGCAAATATGCCATCAATCATTACTTGCCCATGCTGTATATCCTGTAACAGAGAAAATGAAAATGAAAATAAAACCATCCATATGATGACTTTAAAAAAATTATTTCCTACGCAGAACATAAAACATATGTATACGAAGGGGGACCCAAAAATAACCGGAACCGACTTGTTGCACGCGCATGCTTTGTAGTTACGAGTTGTGCTGCTAGGTGGTGTTAGCTGGGGGTCTCCCACGACTGTTAGTGAGCTGGCGTCAGTCTGAGTTAAGTGGTTTGTCTGTGGTGCTCTGTTGTGTGCGTTCCTGTTTCAACCCTTTGGCGATTAGTGAGATGGCCGTCTTCGGTCATGGTGAAGTTGGAGTTTTCCACTGGCTTGATGATTGCTGGATTGCTGGATGAATTCTGGATCGTTCTGCACTTCTCTCTTCAAGTCGCGGCAAACATTCACGCGGTTTTCTCTTTGGTCATCTCTGAGCAAGCAAGTAACAAATTTTGCAGACACCCGTCTCATGTGCAAACCTTCGGTTAAAATTCGCTGGACCGAGCATCCCAACAGTCTCGGCTGCAGTTTTCCCTAACAGAAAGCAAAATTTCACGCACACTCTTTGTTCCTTCTGGTCGGCCATCTCACTAATCGCCAAAGGGTTGAAACAGGAACGCACACAACAGAGCACCACACACAAACCACTTAACTCAGACTGACGCCAGCTCACTAACAGTTGCGGGAGACCCCCAGCTAACACCACCTAGCAGCATAACTCGTCACTACAAAGCATGCACGTGCAATAGGTCGGTTCCGGTTATTTTTGGGTCCCCCCTCGTATGTACAAAACATTACAAAATACATTTTATAAAATTCACCTGTATAACGTAGTTTGTCCTTTTCTTATAGACTCTTTTGTTCCATTATATGTTTTAACCCCATGAAGTCATCATCATGTGCTTGCAATACTAAACATTAGGGTGTATAACTAACTTACACACATCAATTGCTTACAGGACACCAAAATTTTTTTTCCAACATAAGTCACTAGGAACAATTTTCATAATGTAACTCAAAAATAAAACTTTCCACCTCATGCCTGCATCAAGACAATCATTCAACGACTTTAACAAAAGAAGTCCTTCTAAAGGGGCACATGGTAGGGTAATTGGTTGAGGCACTCTGCTGCAAGCTGGAAGATCATGGGTTTGATTCCCGATGAGGTCACTGGATTTTTCAATTGACCTAATCCTTCCAGCAATGCTACGACCCTGGGGTCGACTTAACCTCTAAGAGGAATGACTACCAGGAATCTTCCTGGGGGCAAAGGGCAGCTTCACCATCATGTGTGAGCAGACTGTCTAGAAAATGTGGGAGCCTCAATGTCTCACAATCAGCCTCCATGGCCTGTTACAGGGACAGATCTTTTTTTTAGTTCTCGCAAATAATACATTGTGCGTTCAAGTTCTAAGGTCTCTGATTTTTTTTCTCACTCAATAATCATACAAAAAATTTGAAACTTCTGTCACTTTTCAACGTAATCTCCCTGCAGCTGTACACATTTTTCACAACGTCGATGCCATGATTCCATGGCCACTGCGAACGCTTCTGTAGGAGTCTGTTTTGACCACTGGAAAATTGCTGATGCAATAGCAGATTGAAAAATGGCATCCATGTCTCATCCATTGTCACAGTTGATGAAAAGAAAGTCCCATTCATGCCTTCATCACGTGTCAACATCGCCTGGCAAATTTCCATGCATGCAGCCTTGCGGTCATCCGCCAGAATTCGTGGCACCCACCTGGAGGCCACTTTCCGCATTCGCAGGTCTTCATGCAGGATTCTGTGCACAGATCCCACGGAAATGCCAACTTTGGAGGCGATGTTTTCCATGCTCAATCGGCGATCCTCCAAAACAACTTTCTCAACTCACTCAACCATGTTGTCAGACAGGCTGGTGCGAGGCCAAGATTGATTTGGTTCGTCGTCACACGACATTCGGCCGTCTTTGAACTGTCGCGCCCACGAACACACATTTTTCACATTCATGACAACATCACCACACATCTCACTCAACTGGTGATGAATTTCAATGGGTGTTGCACCACGCAAGTGGAGAAAACGAATGATTACTCGCTGTTCTTGTAACGAAAACGTCGCCATTTTAAGTATCAAAAACACTCCTCACTCTTGCCGCTACCACTAGAGTTCTGTGTGCTGTACAGTGCTGCGATCTCTGTCACACATTCACAAAGAGTGCACACATATTTTAAACTAAACCGAATGTGTCTATCTGCTTCCAGTCCTGAGAAAAAAATCGGAGAACTTAGAACTTGAACGCCCCTCGTAGTTTCCAAAATCTGAGGAAACTGACTTATCTGTTGAAGTTCTGAATCTGCTGTGAAACCCACCACTGCCTACATATTACCTCCTATGAAGAAATATCTTGCAGAAGTAACACAGATTATGAAGCAGACTGGTTTCAATAGATATTCAACAAATGTCACTTGTAGTCTAGATTCAGCCCTAAAAACACATGAGCACATAAATGGGACTATACATTGAACATCAGAATCACAAAACAGAAACACAGCAGTTTCCACCAACAGTTTTTAAACACCTAATGATGATCAATGTCGAAGAAAGCAGTCTTCTGGGATTTTGCACCGTGTATATGTGGTGTTAACCGACGTTTCGGAGGAACGTATCGCCTCCATCTTCAGGGTACACTTATGTAAATAATTTTTCACTATGACTCCATACTGTCTGAAATGTCTCGATCCCTTATGCAACTATTTTGGCATACAGTTGATGTTCATATATGGCTAAAATGATTTCAGTTTTGGTCTTACAGCCTTCAAAAAGTGACTATGATGCAGTTAGCATCACATCTTTTACAATTTTCCAATCTTCAATGGTTTTTTCTTTTTGCTAAGAAATGTGTAATTTTGGAGTATGCAATCATTACATTTTTGTATGATAACTGCTGTTCCCAGTTAGCATCAAAATAACTTCTTTGACTCTTATTAACTGAGCATGAAACACAGAAAAAATCCTAAAACATGAACAAAGGTAAGGTCACTGCAATACTGAGTATAAGTATGTCAAGCTACATGTGCCTAATTAAAATGGGCTCATTTGTTTACAGTGGAGAGGATTTGGGTGAGTAGGGGAAGCATTCAATCCCTTCCATAGTCAAGGAGTGTGGTGGGTGGAGAAAGCAATTGTTTCTTGGAAGACACTGTAGGCTATGGTCAGGTTTGCACACAACAGGTTTTCTTCCACATCTAAAACAGTATAAAAGAGTGTCACAATTAACATTAGTTCGTTTACTTGTAACTTGTAACATATTCTTAAAATTAACACTTCAAAAAGCCTGAAAATAAGAGTTCTAAAACTCCTGACGTGTTTTGCATACCTCATGTGGGTGCCATCGAGCCTATGGGTGGTATGTTGACAAACTCTGAAATATGTGATCAAATGTATTTCAGCACTTTAGCTTAATGGCACTAGTGTTACTTCCACCCACGAAGGTCACATAAATTCATACTTGTGATTGTAGGAAATAAAGAGTATGATAGTGAGGTGGCCCTAAATGTCATAACGTTCATACCAAGTTTTGTAAAAATCAGTCAACTGATAAAAAAATGGAAGTGGACAAGCACACATGAGTGTGCATGCACATGTACACATGCACACTCAGCATGATGATCTCATAAGCTTACCCTTTTTCATTTGCATGTAAAAAGAAGGCTAAACTAAAGCATTATGAACAATGACTTATATCCATAAGCTTATATTATAAAATGAGCAGCACTTACAACAGCTGACAAGGAAGGGCTCATGTCCAAGCAATAGACAATGCCATAATTGTGTGTCAGAAAGATTATCGTTGAATGAGCAGTGACCAGATATTTGTACATGTGACTAGATTCAGGTTTCCATTCAGGTGGCTGTTCATGAGGAATCACCGAAAGCACCGTCAGCTCAGGCTCAGATAATGATTGAGTCTCCGGCTCAGCTTCTGTTTTGCTTGCTCCATTCTGTTGAGAGTAAAGTTACATGCAACATTAATAGCACGGAAAAGGATGAATTATTCCAGATACTAAGAAAATTCTGTTCTCTAATACAAGGAACGTTTAGAAAAGATCAAAACTTCTACAGCAGTGTTACTGCCACATGCTTCTGCTAGCTCAGTTGAAATGCTTTGAGTGAATTCAGCACATGTCACAATAAAATGTGTGGTCAATGTTGAAAATTAATTACTGTACTATGCACAATAACAGCAATCTGAGCACACTACCTTCCATTCTCTTAACCAGAAGAGATAACATGAAATCAAGCACAGGTTCAAACCATTCTGCAACAGCTGCAATATGACACTTTTCTGGTCCCTATGCTAATTATTAAAAATCTTACCAAGTCCCTTGAGCATGGAACAGTAATTGTTTTGTTCAGCTGTTCAAGGAACCACTGCATACGAATGCTCCGGGATATACGGTACTCCTTCTTCATAAGTAAGTATATAAATTTTGCCTCTAGAATCTCCATGTTCTATAACAATAAAAAGTAAATATTACAACATTATTTAAAAAAGGGAATACAGAACAGAGCTGGCAAATATGAATCCCATCCTAATATGCGCCCTCTCATAACTATCTTGAATTTTGCTGAAATCTGGTCTGAGCTAAAAGAACCACTGCAGAAAAGAGTTCCCACTTGCCCTACTTCCCCTCAAAATTCTGATCTCAGCATCCACCTCTCAGATTGGATATCATCTGAAAGGATGACAAATAAGGTTCTGACTCACCAAAGCCATGGGGTGAGGCATCATGCTCAGAGATGTCTGGCAATGGTGTGGAGATGACAGCATCATGAAAGGCAGAACTCACTGTATTTGCCTTCAACCCATATGGGGTTCTACACGTAGTGGCATTTATTTCCCCACCATACACGGGACCAAAGTATACAGCAATGGTAACAAAAAAGTTCCAAAAAAAAACTTGTAAGGAATCTCCAGTATGGAGATACCTGCAAGCAAAGATAGAAAGTACTCTTCAACATGAAGCTGGCAGATCTACTGTACCACTACAGGATGTTGGCAACACCAGCAAACCTGTGCATAACACTGAGGCAACGTGGAGTAGGGATTCAGAAATTGTCAAAAATCTTTCAATAAATTTACTCATATTAGTTAACCCTGCAAACAGGTAGCCATGGCAATTCTATGCCTGAAACTTGTTATAGATGTGGTGGATAGCACATATACTCAGACACCTAACACCTGGATTCACGGGGGCTAAACAGGAGGACTAACTAGTTCTGAGGGAACAATATTTTCTGTTGTATCTAATGGGAATTCACAATCCTCCGTTTACGTTATGAGTCACTCCTTTGTTGAGTCTCTTAAGATAACATATATGAGTGGAGGGGGCAAGAGAAACTTATTATTACCTCAGCATATCTTCTGTATGATCTGGATGAACCACCACCAACCAAGGAGATGATGGATGTCACTAACTACTGCAGCAGCAGGAGAAAGTAACTAATTATTGGATTAAGGAAAGGATTTTTTCCGAAAAAGCTGCAAACAATAATGCAGTTGAGAGCACTAATCATTCTGGCCTGCCACGATATGATTGAGGATACATGCCATCGAGGAATCAACATCACAGTTCGTGTTGAAGAAGCTGCCAGATGTTATGGTGGTCATACTGAACACTAGATTCACAGATGAAAAATCTTCATGCAACGGTATTTCTTTCTTTATGTTAGTTTCTAGTATTGTAATTGAAATAAAGTTTGTATTAATAGATAAACATTGGATCATTTCATATGCCACCCTTTAGAATGCCTTTTTCTTTCTTTAGTACATGAGCTTTATTTCCCATAACTTGAAATTCATCTGCTGTCCTCTGAAATGTCCAGGTATTTGGCACTAGTGTCAACAATTTTAGACCCACCCATTTAGAAGATGCTGCACATTTCTGTTATACTTCATCCATTAAAGAAGAATGATGGTCACATTCTTCACAAGTTTGTTCACTCTAATATTCGACTTGAAATAATGGGGTACTGGTAAAATCGAGTACCTTGGAAACTTTTGAAGGGTTACCTTGATTTGCTTGTGAAACGTTTCTTTTCCTGTAATCCATTAATTTATTTTTTAAACACCATGTTCTTTCAGCAGACAGCACCCGAATATAGTGTTGGGGCAATTTAAATCTCCAATTTGCATTTCCTGAAATCTGGATCTGTAGCATGTGACAGGATTCATCTTCAAGATACTTTCCTCAAATAATTTTTTCACTTTAATACTGTCCATAACCTTACTTCAACATGATATGCATAATTTCTGACCTGATTTAATAACATTAGAGTCCATGTTTACACAGTTTCTAAACAGTTTTGCAGTGGCAACATTGTGTTATTCCTTCGTTACCAGATTCTGAATGGATTATATTATTTTGGGAGTATATGGTATTTTCACAGCAATAACTTTCCAAGGTGAAAGCAGATAGTCACATTTTCCTCTACTTTTGATTCTGGTCCACACATTGTCAACAATAATTTCCTGTTTCCATTTTTATAAATCAGCACAACTTCGCGCATATGTATGTAAATGATGCTCTGCGTTTAGTATTGTGACATGTAGAGCCACTGCCATGTAACAGTTCTGTAAACAGGTGACAGTACAACAGCCATTGCTAGGGGACATCTCTGTGAACATGTTGTTTCCCCAGGAATGAAAAAACACGCAGCAATGGAAGGGATGTTTTCTGTGGGGACCATGCAGAGGCTACAGAATGAGGACTAGTAGTTTGGTCGAGTCAGTTGAAAGTTGCAGTTGTGAGAAAAAGCTGGTAGCTGACGCTGAGGACAGTTTAGGAACCCACAGGATGGGGAAAATCCGCAGTTGAAAGCCACTATCAAGCAACGGCTAGTGAAAACTGAAAATACTTTATGTATGCTGTAGTTACAGAGATCTTTGTTATGTGTAACTCAGCGAGATTGTCATAGTTACTTGTAATTATGAGTTTAAGGGTCCAACAAATCCAGATGCCACTCCAACCCCCCTTCCCTCCCCTCTAGTCACACTTAATATGTGACAGAATTATTCCTACAGTAAACGTCTCATTAAGGCACAATAGATCACTGTGGTCACGGTGCAAGGGCCAAAAAGGCCTACACCTTATACATTCATTCAAAAGTCTCATTAGGAATAGTCCTACAAACTTCTTCCACTTTCCAAAAGGAAACTTTAAGCTCAATATCAATAGTTCTTGGAGGACCCAAAACAGTAGAGTTACTTTTTATGTTATTATTCAGATTTTCAATGGCATTTCCCACAGTTGAGGTTATTGCGCCTTCTGTTTATTTCAATCTTCTGAAAAGAGACTGTGAATTGCCAAGAATATTACACAGGCTTCATAGAAAGATTCTAATCAATTGAGTAATTCTATTACTTTTAACAAAACATATTTTAAATGCTAGTGTTTTAACCCTTAAATACCCTTCTGGTTATGGCCATTATTGGCTGAAACTTGCAAAGGTTCTAATTTATTATTAAAAAACATTATTGCACTTGATGGAATTCAATCCTAATTTTACCTAAATGTTATAGGGCGCAATGATTGATGGCAATGCTTATCATAAAAATATTGTTTATTAAGAAAAATTACCAACTGGTTTCAGACAATCTTTTTGATTATCTTAGGCTGGGCAGAAACTAACATAACTGGACAGCAGTTACTTATGTCAACTGCTAGCCCCTTCTGGAGAACTGGTATCACAATGAACTTTTCTCGAGAGAATAGAAAAGGTACAATTTATAACTGATGCTCTTCTTTACATAGGGGTTCAGACATAATCACTTGTTTTCAACAGAAAAGAGATGAAGCCATCCAATCCTGTTAACTTTTCATTCATACTATGAACTCTTTTTATCACATCCGCTTCTGGTAACTTTGGAAGATATACCAAGTCTTTTGTATTACATTTTGAACATGTAGTTTGTGCAAGCATTATCAGTGATAAGTCTGCCAATATTGCATTGTGATAACAAAGGCAGAATTCAAAATATGGCATATTTTTGGGAAACATGGCCACTATATTAAGGTTCTGTAACAAAACATTTTCTTCCATTTTTCTCCTTTTTTCCTTTCTGCATTAATTCTATGTTTGATAATTATGTAGCAATGATATATGAACTAGATATAATGTTACATATGAAGTTGCTTTTGTTATTTTAATTGTGTAACTGCATTTTTTTAAACAAGTTGTGAAGCTGTTCATAGGTTTGACTTCTTAGTTTCTTTTTATTGGAAAATTTTAGTTGACACCTAGCTCTGATTTATCCACTGTGTTTAGCGGTACAAGTGACTTCCTCTTTTCAAACCAGACATGAATAATATCTGAATAATGGTTTAAGACGATATAGTAACTTTCCCATTTTTATCTACATAAGTTTCACTGAATTTCTCTGTCACATTTCCTTTCTGTAAGAATCACAGATCCACTTTATCACTTTCCCAAAGATTCCTATATTCATTGTTATATTTGTTTTGTGGGGTGCATTCCTATTATTATTATTATTATTATTAATTTTATTTCCATGGATCCTCACACAGCTGGAACACCAGAGGATACAGAAATAAGTCAATGAAAACAAGACAAATCACATCGATTACACAAATACAATATATTACATAATTATAATACTTAATCCATCACAATTAGAATTGTGTCACTTAAAAAATGTATTACTGTCAGGACAGGTGGATGAAAGTTAACACCAACATAATTTGACGAATTTTAATAAAGGTCGGAGTTTAAAAACTTGTCGACCGAGTAAAAGGTATTTGAGATCAACAATGATTTTACCTCCTTTTTAAAGCTTCTGAAATTTTCTAAACTTTTTATTCTTTCTAGCAATTTATTATATAATCTACCTGCCTTGTTTATTCTGAAAAAGGGCTGTCCTACATGTTCAGATATATAATTTATTTTTGCCTCTAGTATTGTACTCATACTTCTGGAAATTACATTCCAAATTACCTCTCAATGGTTTGATAAAACATAATATGGTCAAGATATAGACAGAGGGCATGGTCAGAATTTTGAATTGGAAAAATACTCTTCTACAGGACGTTCTTCTATTCACATCCGCTATTAGTCGCATCACCTTTTTTGTATCCGAAAGACCATTATACTACCTTTCGCTGGTCCCCAGAAAATTATTCCATATTTCAATCTTGACTGAAAATAAGAATAATAGATAGATCTAACCATTTTATAGCTCATGGCTTCCTTTAAGGTTCTGATAATAAAGTAAGCCTTATTTTAAATTGTACATACAGATTTAATATGGATATTCCATCTCAAATTTTCAGCAATTTTTATTCCTAAGAATTTACATCCAATTTATAAGGGAGTTCTACAGCATTATAAACAATACAAGGTTTATAAACTCTTTTCTTTCGTCTTGGGTGGAATGATAGGGCACACATTTTTATTAAGCCAACTTTCTAAGCGGTTCATTAGGAGAGTTGTTTTTTAAGCTTATCTTCTTCTTTATCTACAATCAAGATATTTATACCATCGGCATAAAGCACCATTTGAACATCTGGTATATAATTTTGTAAGTCATTTATATATAGGAGAAATAATAGGGGTCCCAATATAGGGCCCTGTGGGACACCAGAGTAATGTGTACAAACTGAATATAGTGTGATCTGACAGCAGGCTATATGTAATATCTGTTTAGTATTACTAAGCTCTTCCACATCTCGCTTAAAATAATCTATGCAATGCATCTGTATCCATCTATGTGGAGATGCACCACAAAACTGTGGGTTGTCACTCTTCTGTTCATCTGTTTCAGACACACTGGCATAACCACAGTCGCGTGGACTTTAAACCTATTAATTTGGAAAACATCGCAAGGTTCATATAATGACGTTATTTCTCTAAGGAACGTGACTGCATTACCAAATATGGTGTTTATAATTTAAATTTTCAAATAGCAAGTAAATGGAACAGAAAACTTAAACATGGCATTCAATTTAAACCTTAAACGTAAACACGCCTTCACGTGACACTAGTAAACATGCCGTAGTTAAAAACATACCTTCTCAGCCGATCCTGTTTCGCTTCCCGCCATTACTTTTCAATGCCTGACACTTTATAATTAATTATTTAAAAATATGTACATATTTCTGCGCTGACTCCCGCCCATCACAGTAACTGATAACACCTTGATAACTGCATATCTTGCTGTATTTATCAGGCTGCATAAATATGTACTACCATATTGAAAATATCATACCACAGATAATTTTGCAACTAATCGATTGAAAAATATCGAATTAAATTAGAGAGGCCTATGGAATAATTCCAATATTAAATAACTTGAGTGAATTTCTTCGCGTTGCACTTTACACAAGGAAGGTGACAATAGTTCGCCTTTATTCTTTCAGAAGATGGTATAATCCTTCCACTAGTTTTCCTCACTGACGAAACTTCACTCCACCGAACAGCTACACCTCGAATCCGTGGTTTGGTCAGAATTAGCTACTTACACGTGGTTGCAGACGTTACATACACCACAAATTAATGTTAATAGTTATGTATGAAAAGAACACAGCGCAGCGTTGTGCTTACTGTCCCTGGTTTTCTGACCGTTCATTTGTAGACATATGAGCGAAGATGATAGTTGAAAGTAAACCTAATCAATAAGAACATGATAGAACAAAATATGAAGAGTAATGCCTTGTGGCACGTGACACCGTATAGTCTGGAGGATGATTACTGACATTTACAATGAGCGTATTACCTCCACCTTCAGGGTCGAAGATGGAAGCTGTACGTTCACCCGAAACGCCGGTAAACTTGCCAGACTCTGTCACTTTACCCCAGTACCCATTGGAAAGGAGGCTTGGTGGGCCCCAGAGCTGGTCTGGATGTCATGGAGAAGAGAAAATTCTTGACCCTACTGGGACTCAATTCCGACCCCTCGTTCATCCAGCCCATAGCCAATCATTATACGAACTATCCAGACTCCCACTATAATCTTTTACACAGGAAAATAATTATATCTAGAAAATAGTCCATTAATATCTACTGTATAACACTTATGAATTCTCAGCTGACAAATTTTACAGCGTAAAGATTGGAATTTGTCTTTGTATTCATTTACATCCGTGGATCCTTTATGGGGTCAGACATATGAGTTTAGGGCATGTCATACACTTAATATAAACATAAATCTATATGGTTGTTCAGTTCTGTAAAACCATTTAAATTTAAAATGATATTATATTACACAGAGCAAAGTAATTATCAGACAGAATGCTTATAAAAACCTAAAATAATTATGAATTTTCATTTCCTCCCGCCCTCTAAAGATTCCCATCATTTTTAATGCGTCTCTCCCAGCAATATATTGTACTGGTACCTTTCTTAAAAAAATAAAATTAGTTATTATTAAAAATAAATTAACATGTCCTTAAGTACAATATATCTTCATATTGCTATTGCAAGGGGAAGGAGTGTTACTAAAAAGGTATTATTAAAAATAAATTAATGTATCATTAAGTATGATGTATTTTTTATATTGCTATTAGAATAGATGAAGTATTACTTGGTCAATGGAACAGTAATATACTTGCACCACATCTTGAAATGAAAAAAGTAATTCTCAGCAAAATCTACCAATACAACATATTTAGGTTCATTTACACATACTTTCTTTGCACCAGGTTAGAATTTGAACCTGGCGTCAATGAAGACAAAAGGTGATCCGAATTTCATCATTAAAATCGTCAATAACTTCTTTACATGGGCAATAAGTCATTAATGCTGACCGGTCTGTCATCACTGTAACCAATCATTACCTCCCCACACCATTCATAAATATTACCAGTAAGTATGTAATCTTAACTATATTGAAACTCTAATGCTTAATATAATTTTTATATTAAGAAAGACATATTCTCAGTTCTTGCTACAACTGTCCTGAAATCTTTGGCAGGGAATGTTTAGATTAGACCAATAAGACCAATAAAACTCATGTAACCCAAGACAATCCCACAATAACTGGCGTATGTGTGGCAGTTACCCCGGCTAAGCTTAAAGAAGCTTTTGGAATCTGTTAGAAGGAAACAAGTAAAAAAAGTAAAGGTATCCCTGTACCAGGCCATGAAGGCCCATAGGGTTGTGAGACATTGAGGGTCCCATATTATCTAGACAGTCAGCTCAAAGATGGCAGTAAGGTTGTCAGCCTTACACGCTTTACTCCCCAGGAAAATTATTTAATTAATTCCTGGTACTCATTTCTGTCAACCCCAGGGTCATAGTCTGGATGGAAGTTTTAGGTCAATTGAAAAAATCCAATGACCTCATCGGGACTTGAATCCGTGACCTTCCAGCTTGTAATGCAAACTCTATTGGCTGTGCAAATTAGCTTGTCTATCCCATGGTTGGCAAGCCAATCAAAGTTGAATTACAAGGGGGTTTACATCATCATCATTACATATATTACCTTTACCATCTTTGTATATATACGAAATTTTAATATACATAAAATCCAATTTAAATGATTTCGCAACCAACTCAGGATTACACTCATACAATACAAGGAAAAAAGATGACTTACACATCGTCCCATGTAATACAAGTCTATACAAGAACAACTTTAACAACGTAGGAATTCGACTGCTAAATCATTTACCACTACATATTAAAGAGATACCAGTACTATTCAAGTTCAGAAGTGCTTTGAAAACTTACCTACTTAATCATTGCTTCTACAAAGTGGATGAGTTTCTCTTGTGTGGGGCAAGCACTAGCTCTAATCAATTATAAGCACATAAGTAATGAAGTAAGTAATGAATAATTGGTTTGGGAGAATAATTGGTTTTGGAATCGCTACTGCGCAGTTTTCTTTTCCCTTTTCCAGCAACCAAGCTAACACAGTGGAGATTTACCGGAACAGGCTACTCTGGAGATATGCAGACTTCAAGAAGCTTCACCAGCACTACAGAGACCAGGACCATAAACTACAGTGAAGCAACATACCAGACAATATTATCTCTAAGGCCGTGCCACAGCTTAAGCGGTTAGTCGCTGGCTNTTATTATTACTTATTGTATTGTAAAGTATTGACTTGTCCTATATCATGTACAATGATCCATGGATATGATATGAAATAAATAAATAAATTTGAAGCATTTTAAGTAAGTGCTAGTTAACTTCAAATGATGCTCTGTAACATTCATCCACCAAACTTTGTGTAAGCTAGACAACAAAACCTATAAGTCTGTGTTATTGCAGGATAGTGATACAGGTGGAAACTGATATCAACCTTATGGGACTGATTATGTTTCCTAGTAGTGATGAAGTGTGAGTAAGTGTGGTCCAGTGACTTCTCGATGAAAAGTGTCTTGTCAAAGCAAGATCCATTAACCCCTGAAAATTTTTTTTTTTTGCTCACAAAATTAATTTAATTCCTGTGACAATTCCTACATCTCCAACACCATTTGCTTATGATTCCTCAAACCAATAGCATCCAAAAAGGAGAGAGACGATGACAATAAACAGGCGGATGATGCGTGATGACCTTGATGGCCCATAAAGAAAGTGTTGTTATAAATACTCGTAGGCTCTAAGAACTGTGAGACAGTTATATCACACACTGTTTGTTCAAGATTTCATCTCCGAATTAAAGATTGTTCACTGCAGATTGTAAGTTGCATAAGACTTGGGGCATCTTGCACAGTGTTAAGTTTAAATTTCTGTTAGGCATATCAATTTTATAAGGATTTTGCATCAAAATCAGCTTTAAGATGTGCTTTATTTATTTTAAGTATTAAGATCATTTACAGGCACATACTCTGTGGGTCTGCCTTACATCTGCAAAGATTCAGTGTTCTAAAGGCAAATCTGAAAAATCTAACTGAAGTAGGTGCATGTTTCTCAAGAAATTTCACATGTTCACAGTATATTGTTCCTTCAAGTTTCCGTTTCACAGACATGAAATCCTTGCTAGGACACAAATCACTGTACTCATTGTTCTCACAAAAATGTATGGCCATATATCAGCATCAGGCAAAAGCCAACCTCTCTTCTTCAAGCTCCAGGACAAATGCCATAGGTTTTCTATGAAGCTCTTTTTTTTTTCTCACAATGTTCTGAGACACACCAAACTCAGCAGTGACCTCTTTATTGTCCAAATATGGGTTCTGAATAAGATGAACAGGTGAAATGAGAATGAAGAATTGATGGGCTTTTTTAATTCTAGAGTATCTTCGTTGTGAACATAGGATCATTCTTAGGATCACCTGATCTTTCACTGTTTGTTTAATTCTTAAGTTACAGTCTGAACACGGTGAGTGCTGTTGTATTACTGAAGAATGATGTACTCGGTATGCAAATTGTAATGATACAGTGTACAAACTATTTGATACAAACGATCATATTTTCTTCCAAACAAATGAATATGTGTAGAATATCTTTGCTACTTGCTTCATGCTGGTTTCTTCTGTGGCTTACCTTCCAGCCTGAAGGATGGTTATACATTCCTCAGAAACACCAGCTTTTGACAGATTATATGTCATTATATTCCAGAAGACAGAATTCTTCAAATGAGATTAAGTACTGCTAACACATTTCCTGGTGATGCAAACATTGTTTTCAAATGATCTGTTTTCCCTAATCTCAGCCCAGGCAATTTATTCTCTTTATCTGATAAGTTCTGAACATCGAAATAACCAGTATAATTACAAACTTTAATTGATGCTGGTGAGAAGGTTGGTCTAGAAGTAAACATAGAGAAAACTAAGTATATGTCACTGTCTTGTCACCAGAATGCAGGGCAAAATCATAACATACAGATAGCTAAGTTCTGAAAATGTATCACAGTTAAGATATTTTGGAACAACTATAACAAATCAAAACCTGATTCAGGAGGAAACTAAGAGGAGACTGAATTCAGGTAATACTTGCTACCATTCAGTCCAGAACCTTTTTTCTTCTCATCTGCTGTCTAAAAACATAAAAAATTAGAATATACAAAACTGTAATTTTCCCTGCTGTTCTGTATGGGTGTGAAACTTTGTCTCTGACATTAAGGGAGGAATACAGACTGAGGGTGTTTTGAGAACAGGGTGTTGAGGAAAATATTTGGATTGAATAGAGATGAAGTGATGGGAGGTTGGAGAAAACTGCACAATGAAGAGATGCATAACATGTACTCTTCTCCAAATACAAATAAAACGATCAATTCAAGGAGGATGAGATGGGCAGGACACGTAGCATGAATGGGGGAGAAGAGGAATACATATAGGATATTGGACAATATTAAAACGGATCTTACAGAGATAGGATGGTATAGTGTGGATTGGATTGATCTGTCTCATGATAGGGGCCAGTTGAGGGCTCTTGTGAACATGGTAA